GCGATTTTCCATGAAAAATTCATCGCTGAAGGTACCTCTCGAAAGTGTCTCGTGGATTTACCTGGGAGGATGGTTCATTTCATTGGCACTTTGAGGACTGATTAATTCGATATATCAGGACTGAAGTGAATCCATCGCTTATCTCTCCACTTCATCATATCAAGTATTCAATTATCTTGATGTGCGAGGTTTTTTTTTCATTCTGACTGACTGAGAATGAGAGCGAATTAACCCTCGTGGAGTGATTTTAAATTTTTTCACTTTTTGAAAAATTGAGACTGGAAAAATTTTTTGAAAAATTTACCAACGGCGCAACAATGAAAATTCCCGGAAAAAGTGAAGAGTTCTAATTAGCGGACCATCCGCAGATCCGTCTTTTGTTTCCCAATTTTTTTTTGTTTCAAAAAAAAAAAAGTGTTCTGAAAAGTTTTCCAGAAATTTTTTTAAAATTTTGAAAATTATTCCAATTACAATTTTTTTTTACCCGGGCAAGAGGAAAACTTGAAGAGTCAGCAAAGTAAATGATCAGAAAATGACACGACATGAAGGATCATTGGAAGTTATCTTGCGCAACGACTAGACTCCATCTGGAATAACACAAGCTCCTTGTGATTCGACAGTGGAAACCGGGAAAAGTAGTCCCAGGAGTATGATAACTGGGCACGTAGCGAAACCACACCAGGAGCCCCTGAACCTTATTAACGTAATACGTGCCTCAGCATGGTAAACGTGGCTAGAAAGCATTCCACATCGCCCCATTGCACCAGCCCTCCAACCATAGACAAACACCAGAGCTATTCGTCTATTTGTACGTATTTTTGCCACTCCCAGCTATCGAGTATATTGGTCCACTGAGCATTAGCCCACCAGACGCCTGATATATCCAATCCTGGCTGAGGGGTCAGGAGTTTGCTTGCCAAAAAGCAAATCATTCGTGCGGTACTTTTTAGCTTCACTAGCAGGAACTGCGGCGATGTATGTTGTTGAGGCAAAGCTGATACTCGAGGAGTAAAGCCTCGTGCATCACTTTTATTTTATTCCTATATTCCCATTTATAAATCAGCGAAGGAAAAGCCAGTCTTTCAGTATTACACATTTTTTTCATTTTTTTTCATTTTTTTTCATTTTTTTTTCATTTTTTTTTTTCATTTTTTTCATTTTTTTTTCATTTCTTCTTTTTTTGTTGGGAACGTTCAGTTTTGAAGTGAACTAAATTGGAATAAAATGGATGATCCACGTGTAGAAGTTGATCTACAAGTTTGATAAGAGAACACAAGTTCTCAGCGAAAAGTCCACCCCTAGAACCTGACGATTGGCAAAAGAACCAACAGTCAGACAAACACGACTGTCCCGTTTCACCGTTTGTTGACTCGATAATAAAATTCCGAAAAGTTCAAGTTCCTGAGAAGAAAAGTTGGCGGTGTACATGAAACAGCTGGTACATACTCTATAAACTGAGCGATGGTCTGGCCTCGGTTTATAGTTGTTGAAAAGTCACTCAGCGGGTTAGTTATCCACCGTTGGGAATTTTTGTGTGAACAGTGTGCCTAATTAGTCTCCAGTCAATGGTTAGTTTCATCGACTTGGTTTTTTAAAAATAATCCAAACGCTCTGGGACCTTCCACAAACCGTTAAACCTCTCGCCAAACCTCCATTGTTGAAATACTCTCCCTTTGGTACACTCTTACTCCCTTCCACCCCTCGGAAACTGGCAACTTTTTTTCCCCCGCAAATTCACTCCAGCCTGGAGGCGTATTTTTATCGAAATTGTTAGTAATTGGCTGTACACTTCAGCACGGGGTCAAGAGGTTGTGGGGCGAATGGGGGGACATTAAATTTTGTTGATGGATGAATTTATCGGATTATCCATATTCGTTGTCTAGTGTAATGTATATGCTGAGAAGCTCGGTAATAACAGATCCTATCGTATCACGGGACTCATCAGTGTCAGGAAACTTTGCGCTAGGATTACATAACTCCCTCGAGCCAGGATGCACAGCCTAAAAAATTCAGCTCCTAAAGACAACGAGTACTTGGTGAAAAGTAATGAGAATTCCACATTGAAACCTCATTATATCGCTCATTATATTTTCTGTAATCTACCTATACCTATAAAATCAAATAAAATCAGTCAAGGGAATGAATATGAAATTTCCATATAGAACGAATAACTAGGCTGATCCGAATGGAAAAGCAAAAGCTCTGATGGACAAATGATGAGGCCGATGGGTCCGTGTGCTGTCTCCCCCGTAAAATTCAGAATGGCCATCCATTCGTCATTTTCGTTATGAAAATTCCATACGAGGCCAAGCCCTGAAAAGTAGAAAAGTGTCATCCCGGGAATAGCCACGGTATTGGGAGAAAAAGCACGTCTGAGTTATAAGAGAAGAAGAAATCCCAGGGATGAGGTTTGGCATACTAAAATCCGGATGAGTGGTATCTGTGTGCGGTGAAGTAAGTGCAACGTGAGAAATGTTGCGAAGAAATATATTCCCTTAACGTTCTTTTTATAACAGACCAGTCATTTCCACCAACTTCCCCAATTTCTATCAAAGATGATTGCGCTTCGTGATCACGACTGGCAAGATCGAGCTGAAGGTCTATGTCGAACCCAATGACCACTCGTACCATTTCCGCATTTGGGAAATTGAAGCGACGTCTCCACCGACAACTGCTGCACCTCACAGTTGCTCCTACATGGTATTACCTATAGTATATTACCTCTATATACTATATCAGCACTCTGATGCACACCAGCAGTAACAGTGACATGTACCACACATTGCTGAGGTTTCCATCATACATCGATTCACCACTGTTGAATTATTGAGTTGAATTTGTAAATAATGCTGGAAATATTTTCGTCTCTGACACCACTAGGCAATTCGTTGTAACAGGTCACAGGAAATAACGAGACACGAGGGCTGATTATGACGTTTGAGGGAATCACAAAGGGGTACCGAGACGAAAATATTTAAAATATCGAGTCGTATAATAAAATAGTAGGAAATATGAATTCAACTGCGATGAGACATGCTGTCTATTGAAATTAACGGACACCTGCAATTAATTTAGGGATTATAAATCTGACTAATTAAGCGGTACTCATATCTCTTCAGTGAATTTTCTCATGAATTTGAAAAACCCTACGGGACAATAATTGCCGATTCTCGCTGCAAGTGATTAATACACAGGCTCCCTGGAGCCATCAGACCGCAGCGAATACTAAAGCTATCCCAAACTCGATAGAACAAAAACTGAGTATATTGACAGGAGTAGAGAACTATAACATTAGGTTTGGTTCAAGGTAAACAAGAATATCCGGAAATTCAGAACGTCTACCAAATTTCCCACTCAGCGGTTTCAATATTCCATCTCAGAAATGACATATTAGTTTCCATCGATAATTGCTTGAAATATTAACTTTATCCATTTCTCTCCCTCTCGTCTGTCAATCCCCAAGATTTTTCTCACCATGAGTCACCATGAGTCACTGAAAATAACGACAGATTCAACGAATGTATTTATTACACACATTTGAATTGGAACTAGCAGTCGAAATGAACGTCTGCCCAAAAATTTTCTAAATAGAAATATCAACACGGTCTGTCGATTGGTCAACTAAAAAGCCCCTCCATAAAAAACAACAGGAGAATCTCGATGAGAGAGGTACTGAGATGAAACCCGAGTGTTTATGTTCGATATATCTGGCACAAGTAACCGTATAACGATGTGCAGACACCAATCAATACCCGCGTTCCCACCTATCACCGACCATTAACCGAGTGACAGAAAAAAAATAAAAAATAAAAAAAATAAAAATACTTGGACACCGCATAAAGGAGAGCAGCAAAGTTTGTCGTGATTTTTCTCATGTCTATTTCCATCGGGTGCCGAACGACATACTTTTTAAAATATAGACAGAAGGACCGGTGAAGTTGTTGTTTGGATTTGAGACAAGTCGATCGCAATGGAAAGACTCAGCCGAACTCATTGTCATGGGTTTTGATTGATTCAGACTCATTTGGCATTTGGGAGGAGTTGCCGAGAGGTAAATCGAGAGGGAATGGGTAGAATTCCCTCTTGCTGTACATCCTTTTGTTCATTTTAACGTCACTCGTATGCACTGGTATGTACACACAGTGGTACATAGTAGCACACAGGATCGATGGTGCGTAAGTCCCCTCCCATCTCTCATTCTCACACACCACATATATACATGAGTTGTTTTATACATATATATAACTTGGGTATGTGTTCATCTGTCTTCTCCGTAGTTCAGTGTAAGTGGTAGAGGTGTAACCAGTGAAAGAGTGAAATGGCAATATCAACACAGGCGGACACACCGCGCACACTACTACTCACTCTTTATAAAATGTCAGATACGTTGCTCTTGTATTTTACTATCTTTTTTATTTCAAACTTGTGGATGCTGCTGGAGTGTGCAGGGGTTACATTCTTGCAATTACACACAGAGGAAAACCTGTCTTACCAGTTACGAAAAAAATCATCAATTCAGCTATTAATTGTTCAATTTAATTCTCTGTATTGGTTAATTCAGGGATCAACCATTATATCGTTTTTTTAGATTAGATGGACAGTGAGGAATATTCATTTGTCAAAGGCATTTAATCCACGGTGGAAATGGAATTTTTTTATGTTTAATAGTATTAAATAAGGGGACAGCAATTTGACGTGTGATTGATGGAGGAATTATTATTTTAATGGTAATATTAATGGGTGATTTTGCGAACTCTCGGCAATTGTACAGAAAACAAAGGGTGGAAACTTTATTCTCCGTTCAATTAATATTTTGGGGCTTGCGTTGTTGCGTTGGTGTGCAATTACAGTGTCGATATTTGGGAAATCGATTATATGTATTCCATACGCGTTTGGGTTAAGAGAATCGTTTGATATCGTTGGGAGGTAAAAAGTGGACAGGGAGGATAGGTGGTTTTTGAAAGATGGATTATTGTTGTTTTTAGTTGTGGTTGACTTACAACGTCGATTATTTGCATTAACGTGAGGCCGAAGCTCAGTGCGAGGGGCTCGGACTCGTTGAACACCGGACGCTCCAGTACATTGTAGTTATCCAGGAGATCATTCAGCAGCCGCTTCTCGTGCACACCGCCACTTACCAGTCCTGAAAAATCATCAAATTTTCATCATCCATTATTTCTCAAGAAATTCCGCGGAGGGAAATTAATCCCTTTTTTAAATGGTTATTTTACATCGTTATTCGATTATTCGACTATTGTTAAAGTCCATTGCGATGATGATCAAGACTTCAATTGGTTAGACCTCACCATTCTACCCTGGAATCGAACCTCGAATAATGAAAAAAATTTGTGAATTGTAACCACCTGAATTTTCTGTTTTAAAATCATGCGAATATGCATTGGTAATGGAGTGATAAAATCAGAGAGAGTGAAGAATTCTTTATCACCCCCTTTTTTTGTCGAGAACCTGTTCCCAGTCCTCTGCACATGAACTATTATTTAATTAATTAATGAATAATGAGGCGTGTTGCTTTCACTCGTTCAAGTCTTAAATCTCGCAAGTCCCATAATGGATGAGAAAGTTTTCCAAGCGTCTCAGTTTTTCGCTAACGCGATAGACTTCACGTCTGTATTTAGCTCCTTGCCCTCTTTGTCTGGACTTGTCCCTCCCTTTTTTCCCTCAATTACTTCTCCGTCGTTAACCATCAATCGATACTGAAAGTTTTCAATCAACTGACCGCGCGACTTTCGGCTATCATTCTTGTCCTGTCCTATAATCGTTCAATTTCGGGGTTTTTTGTATTGGCTCATCAACGCCATTGATTTTTGATTTTCGAAGGTTGCCTCTTCGTTAATAAAAACCGGCCGCTCCGAAAAATGACCAATATGGCGAGTGTGAAGAGATTTAATGGATGATGAAAGCCATCAACCAACTGAATTTTCAACGCTTGTTGTAACCATACGGGCCGATAAATATTTATGAACAGGTTTTTCCCATTATTTTTATTCAGCTCCCATCGTTTGGTCGTTCATTTTGTTTTTCTCCATTTTCGCCTGACGCAGGGAAGAATTTTTTTTTCGTGGAAAATTCATTCGGAAAATGTTGGAATTCAGTGGGCAGTTATCAGTGACGATCGGAGAAAATCGGCGGAAAAAAAACGAGTCCTCATTGCAGAGAGAAAGTACAATCGAGTACTTTATGGACAATTCAGTTACAATCTACAAATCTGTAAGAAAAATTGAGAGTTTCCTTTGGTTTTCCATTATAATATATTAACAATTTTCCAGAAGCTTATCGAAACCTGAGATAAACAAGATTATCAAAGAATCAGCTCGACACCATTTTTTTTTACTGCATTCGCCATTAAATTATTTCTCCATGTTCGTTTATTTGAATAAAAACTGATAAAAATCCTCGGAGATTGGAGGAAGCATTGAATAAACCTGGAAAATAAAGATTCACTCTTCACAGGGTTGATTTTTTTTCTCAAGTTGGAGGGGTTTGGAGAGATAAAATGTGCATTCCTACTAGTTCCTCTTGTCCTGAGGGATGGCCAATTTCAGTGACCATTACTCGCAGTGAATCCTCGTTATTCTCGTGTACCGCAGAAACAAATTCCTTTTTCCTATCCAGACCCTTGGCACCATCCCCCTCCCCCTTCATTTTCTTTTTTCCTCTATTTTCCTCAACAGCCACTTGCGAAATGTCCAATGCCTTGTGCGCCACCAACAGCGATAAATTGCAGTTCTCAAGACGCCCTCCATCGTATATCACATTCTTTCCCCTTATTTCTCCAGCCCACACCCCCTCGGCTACTTTTCAACCTGGCTTTAGGGAGGAAATTTTATATCGCACGATATTTATGATATTTATTGTCGAGTGGCAAGTGCATTGGATGGAGACTTTTAACAGCGGTAAATACACACTGGGCTCCGACAATTTTCTACCTTCTACAACTTCACTTGAGAAACCAATTGCCTGGCCAAACTGCTCCGCCATTACACACCTGCACTTACACAATTATGTGACGATAATCATGAAATGATTTTCAGTTGAGAAATTATTTTTAGCAAACCATTTGTTCAAAAAGTGCAAATTGTAAAAAAAAAGTTGTCAGACAAAATTTGTTTCGGAAATTTTTTTAAATAATTTTTTAGAAATTCTTGTGAATATAATTTTTTTTTTTCAATTATACTGTTGTTTTCTTACTTTTTTTATTTTTTGAAAATTTGGGAAAAAAATATTTCGATTACAATTTTTTTTACCCCGGTATCACGTACAAAAAAATTGAAATTTATGCCATTTTTTTTTTGTAAAAAATGAGGGGATTTCGTGGAATATTCACTGCAATTCTAACCAATGACGCAGAAGATTTCCCCCACGTCTGCTCCTGAAGATAAACTCAAACTCAGACGCCCTAAAAAATTTCTAATTCATCGCCATGAATTTGGAATTTAAGCCTGAGAAGATAGGAGAACTGCGAGATGAGCCACAGCCCCCGGAAGTTTGTGAGAAGAGTCTCAAAGTTGCTCGTCGGCGAGAGGGAAAATACGTTGAAACCACCCTACACCGCCCTATCAGTGCTTAACCTATTTTTACATCAGGATTAGTTCTTTATATATTCCGCCCAATGTTATCAGCATTTTTCATATATTTCCTATTCAAATCAGCTCTAAACAGGCCTTCCGCCATTATTTATTGTATTTTCCATCAAACTCAATAAGTAAACATAACTCCAACAATAAAAATACACTAAATAAAGATACTCTCTATAAACAATCGAACAATTTATACTGCATGTCAGGATAATTAGTTATTTTTTTATTGAGTAATGAAAGAAACTTTTCCGTTTGATTAAAGGGAATATAGAGATAAATATTGAATTTTTATTTAATAAATAAATAAATGAAGAGATCTGTGCTGAAAAGTTGTGGGGCATTCCCGAAAAATTGATTTCCAAGTGGAGTAGCCTTGTTTCGTTCAGCCACTTGATTACTGAGAAAAAAAAAAGTTTAAGTGATTCCGAGTGATAAACATCAGATATAATCCGACGTAAATAAATGGATCGAACGAAAAATTTCTCTCCGGACAAAATAAAATACCGGAGAAAATACAATCTATTCTCCACGGAAACATTATTCACTCCATTTGAATACTTTTCCATTAACCCTACATTAAACTGGTTATAAATGGCCAGAATTACTCGGCCACATGATGAAATTTCACTGGAATTCCGAAAGAACTCCATTCATCTCGCAGATACTGCACTTTCCAAAGTTTTCACTAGAAATTCTCGTCCAACTATTCCGCAATTTCCACGTTGGCTATTTTTTTTATTAACATTAAATTGAAAAATTCGCTTCAAAGACATCAATTGAATTTCACTCAACGAAATCTCTGAATGGATAACCGTTTGTTTGTTAACTTGGAATTCATTTATCTTTACTCCGATGAAATAAAAATAAAAGAGTTATCTTTGTCATGATGAGTTTCTCAAAAATATTTTTCTACGCCCCGACATTGCGGAGTAAATAATTACATATCGCAAGTACTGGATCAGTGGAAAGACATTATGCCCCATATTTTCTCCTTCATTGTAAACTCTCAATCTTATGGTGCGAAAAGCTTGGCCGAATCGTCCAGGGGGATAGCTATACTACAAGTCTCGTTATCATGGCCACGTAAATCCCAAATGACGCATAAACATCCGAAATATGGCAGTAAAAGGGGTGAGAGAAGGGGGTGGCATGATATAATTTTCAGTCGCAATTCTCGTTCACTCGGTTCATCGGCTTTTGATGGCCCGATTGGCCGACGATTTTTCAGTGATTATTTCGTATTTTTCATAAATTCCTTAGAAACCCGTACATAATTTATTATTATTATTACTCATTTTTTACCTTGATTATTGAATGTTTAAGTGAGTCTTTTAAAAAATAATCAATGACATACAAAAATATTTAATTAACATTTGGTAATGATATTTAAAAAATAATTTTTCGTTATAATTTTTTAATCGACAGAAAAAATTCTTTAATTGGCTAGCACCAGGAGGTGAGCTTTCTTCAGGGGATCGGCGTTAAAACGCGAAATGTCAGAGTTTTTTCAACATCTTCAGATATTTTGCCGTGGCAGTGCCGTAATGGCACTTGCTGACATCGTAAACCTCGAATTTAGCGTCCATTCAAGAGATATACCGTAGATTGCCTCGGAATTTCACCACCCCAATTGTTCAGATCAATACGCAATCTATTATTCCAGAATGATTTCACGTTTCCAGCTCAAAGCCTAATTCAAACTTAATTTCATGCTCGTTATATGGTCTCCACCACTCATTCGCGGAAAATGGATTTCACAACGAATTTTATTTTTTATTTTTTCCTATTTCAGCATTAAAAGTTTTCTCGTTCAAGTATAAAACAGCTCTCAAAACCGGTACTCGTGGCACTCTAACTGTGACGAGGAAACTTTTCCAGAAATTTGTTTAAAAATTCATATAAAAAATGGAGAAATATCATTGCACACGGAAAATCATACAAAAAGCGTATTTGAGTGTTACAACATTGTTTTCCATGGAAAAATCCCAAATGTCATAACATATCCGCATAAAATGGCGTCTGAAAACTGACAATCGTGAAAATGAGTAGTCAGGTAGGGTAGAAATTGAATTTTTTTTCCCCAACGGTGTAAAATAGGTTCATAAATGACGGAAAAGTGAGAATTTAGAGTGAAGATCTGCAGGCGTTGGGAGTTGAAGTAAATTTCATTTTGCTCGGACGACACACACGGGGATAACGGCTTGAATTCCATGATAGAGAGCTGATGGAAAGGGAAAAGGGAAAAGGGGCTACACGAGAATAGGGGAGAGGACAAAGCGCGTTAGCGGTGGGTTAGACTCACTTCTTTCCTGACCTCAACATATATAACAGACACAGTGCATGGGATCGTTTCTCCCCTTCCCTCCATCGCTCCTTCCTTCTTTTATCGAGGCTAGTGGACACGATCGATTCAGAAGAAAAACTCACAACCAACCATGAACCTCGCCCCTGCGGTGACGTTAATCCAGAAAAAAAAAACATTGCAAAGAAATTGTCAAAATGAAAAGCAATATCGAGAATGGTCGATGGAGTGGGACAGGGGGGA